AAAAACTCATGTTTTATCGTTAGCCTTCTTATCCGTGGTACTATAGAATGCAGACCACGCGTCTAGTTTTCTCCCAGTAGCACAAAATATTAAGTTTTTTTTTTAATCCATCAAGTAGCACATACTTTTTTGTATGCTTGTGATTTCTCCTCAAATAAAGCGTGAAAGAAACTGCTGTTGTAGTAGCACACTTGCATTCTCGCTATCGCATTGCAAACGCCTGTAAGTACTTCTTTAGGTTGAGATACATTGCAAAACACGACACTCACCAACAATAATTTTAAACTACTTTGATTCATTTATCTACTGCAATGTGAAGAGCAATAAATTCATTTCTGCAGGTAAAACAGTTCTATTCCCGGATGCTTTCAGTTTTATGCATAATAAAGCCAGCACATTGAATAAATCGCATCTTCGCTCTTCTTTGTTAGGGCAGGAAATCATACCATTCCGGAAAACTCTGTCTGGTATTCCTGCAAAAGCTGTTATATCAAATTCATAAATTGTTTTTGAAACAGACTGTGCCTATCAAGTAGTGCATAAGTCCCAAGAATCTAAAGATTTAGCTATTCACTGGGATATCGATTAAAAATTAATAACAGCATTAGCCAGAGAATTTAATTCCAATTTAAAACTCTAAAAAATAAAACCGGTTACCACGTTTCTTCTTCTTCAACACTGGGATATACAGGCAAGTTACCGTAAAGCAACCAAGTCCAAAATCCTTAAAAAATAAGTTGGTAATGAATATTTCCATGACAAAAGAGTGTGTGCCAATACAACTGCATTTTTGTAGGTTCGCCGTACGGTAGTTAGTTTATTGGATATTGAAGTAGGCAGTGGCGCCAATCTCTTATGCCTTTTTTTTACAAATTATGTAGAAAAAGTTTTGCGACGAGATTATATTTTTCCTATAGCATTATCTGCATTAGTGAACAACAGGTACTAGTATTTCGGAAGTAGCATCATCTCAAATTCCTTTCAAGCGCTCCTAGAAAGATAAGGGGTCAATAGTCGTGGAGCTTATGGATATTTACTTTTGGCTAAGTGGAGTAGAAGAGGAATGTGGAGCAACTGAAGATAAATCAAGTTTTTCCGCTTCAAATGGACTGTGAAATGTGTAGCAGGAGTTTGATTTTTGATTT